TCGATTCGGGCCATACATTGGGAACTAAGTGAAACGGCAAAAATCTGTTGACGAGATCATAACGCATACCAAATAAAGTGGAATCTCAGTAGGCAGGTAGCTAACTTGTTCGGGAAGTCTTAAAACAAAATAACCATCCGGAAAACCTATTAAATAGGATAGAAAAAAGTTTACCGAATAAAGATATGGAAAAGCCAAGCCATAAAGATTAGATAAGTACTATAGCACTCCCTTATTGAACATCCACATCTGAGGAAATAAGACGTATCCTTAATAGTTACAACATCAGAGTATTCTTTAAGGTGACGAACATATTACACTCACATCTGTGTAAATTAAAATATCCGATTCCGCATTTGGAAGAAAAGAACTGCGTTTATAAGGTGGCAGACTGTAGTGAATGTGATGCCACATATATTGGGAAGACATCATGTCTAGTACTAACATGTCTAGCTGAACACGGTTGAAGTTGCAAGAAACCACCAAAGCATTCCTATGATCTGAAAAAACTTGGAATTGGCTCTGCCATCGCGGCTCATGCCTTATATTCGGGTTATAAAATATCAGTCGAAAAGACAGAAGTTCTGCAAAAGGGTTTTCTTTTTCTCACAAAGAGTGGGCCATTACAGAAGCTTTGTACATCTGTTCGTACCCTTCTTCGGTCAACAGAAAAAATGGGTTAGACATCCCACTAATATGGCAAACATTAATGACTCGCATGGGCAGTTGTAAATAACACATGAAGAGAAGGTAGGACACAATTCCATTCCACAGGGTTTATTCCGAATAGTTCCCGGTGTTATTTCGCTTGATCGTGTTAATCATGTCAAAAAATATTGGTTGTATTTTAACAACTTGTCTAGTCCTATTACACAACACTTTATTGATCTACTATTTTCATCAATTTTACGCTCCTCTCTGAATTATATACATCCTATGAACCATTCTATATATTACGTAATCCATTTTGTCATTATTCATACTTCAACTGTTATCAAAAGTATCTTTATCGTTATCATTACTATTACTATTATACTATTTGGTGTTCAAATATTCATCCTTCCAAACTAGTAATCTATTCTTTCTCACCCTTGTACTTTTCATAGACGAACTCAATTTCCTCACCCTATTTTTGTCCCACCTTACTTGGCACAACTGGAAAAAGTCTCTCTGACTGATTCGCTTATTCACTCACCTGTATTACGTATTATTACGTACGTATTACGTACCTGTATTATCTTTGCTGCATATTACGATGTGATTGGATGATTATAAAGGTCACCACCATCTTCTATATCAAAACTTGAATATTAACCTGAAAACTTTGTCAGATTCATACACTTGTGAAGAATCTTTATAGCAAGATCGGAACGTTGAGGAATAATGCAAAATATTTGTTATTTGTTCTAATGTACTACGCCGGGATTAAACAAATAAAAGTACATCTTATACGATGAATCATACTAATTCAAACTATCTAGCCCATGGTTGGTCAGGATACCTTCAGTACTATAAGCTTTCAAGAAGTCAGTAAAACATTCTATGCTTAAAACATTATTTCATGAAGTCAAAAATGACTATAAAGTTTGACAAATCAGCGTTCAATCAAGCCTTATAAGCTAGTTCTTGAAATCATATCAGATGAGGTGCAACACTTGCATACATCACTTATAATGAATCCCAAATCCAACGTATAGAAGTACAACTTGAAACCACTGAACGCATCACTGTTACCGGAAACCCAACACACACACACACCTCATATCAACACATCAAGTAAAATAGCAGTGAAATGGAAGATGAAGGAAAGAAACTTCAGTCAAAAGAAATATAAAGTAAGAAAAGAGAGAAACGAAGAATGAGAAAATGGTGAGATTCGGTATAGCGTCGTTAAAATGAGTATAATATGTGTATACATCTGCGCCACTAACATTGATTCTCAGTCATGCCATCATCTACAGTCAGTCTCCAACCACTGGTTCCTCTTGTCCCACAAACCCCAACCACCTAGTATGCATCGTCACACATGGCTCAAACCAACAGTCAGACACTTCATACATTGGTGCCATGTTTTAGCCTGGCCACCTCGAGCATTTCCCAGCCTGCATACACCTCAGCCAACATTCTGTGACGAGGCAGTCGGCGACCAGGCAAACGTAACACACCTCTCAACCATCTCGGTCAATGAAGGTTCACAACCGTGTCAACTCATCTACCTCTTCTCCCTAAAACTCTACACCTGACTTCTGCATTACTCACTCACGTGGTCACACCATGGAATACGTCCTATACTACGAAGGCAACCATCGTCAAACACCTGAAGATAGCTCATGTCTTCCACCCCCAAATGGCCATGTCTCACACACATACACTAGTACACAGTTGACTGCAGCACAGTACAATCGACTCGCAATACACAATCGGATACCACAGTGGCGCCATAGGCCACGTAAATTGGCAAAAGCCAGTAGAGACTTGTGTATCCTTGCAGACATTCCACCGGCCACTCAGCCAGCAACCAGGGCTCAGATCCTACTTACCAGGTAAGTAAAGTGGTCAACACACTCAACCTCTACACTCTCTATTGTTAACCGCAGTGGGGCACCATTCAACACCAATCCTGGAGCAACAATTCCCATTTGGGTGGTCAGAACCGCATCCCAGACATTCTCACTATTCAGAAGACTCTGCATCTTGTCAGCGTCTTCATCTAACACGACCACGTCATCTGCATATTCTAGGTCGAACGAAAATTCTCCCACAACTAGGCCAACCTCTGTGTAATCAAGTGACGACAGGGAAACCTCCATAAGAATATCTATGATAAAATTGAATAAGAATGGAGATAGTGGGCATCCTTGACGGACACCACTCGATGAGCACAGCTCCATGGACATCCCACCATAGGCTCTAACATGCCCACAAGTGTTCGAGTAGAGAGCCTTCAATAAGGTGACGTACTTACTCGGTACGTCTTTCAGTGACAGACATTGCCATAAGAATTCTCGATCAACGGAGTCCAATGCCGCCACCTTCAGGTCGAGAAATACAGCTAGTGTTGGACGTCGGTAAGCGTGCCTATGTTCCAGGACCTGGCGCAGTGTGAATATTTGGTCGATACACACGCGGCCAGATCTAAAGCGTGCCCGGTTTTCTCGGGCTTGCTATTTCCGAGATCCACTCAGGCGTCGGAGAATTATAGAACCTAGGATTTTGGTACCTTACAAATGATCCAAGGTTGTCTGTCATTTTGACTACTATAAGTGCCTCAAAATCCGTCACAATACCGCACAATATATGCATCCGCCGGAAATCGTGAACACTGTTATTAGCCTATCCTTTTATAGACTGTTGCCTAAGTTAATGTCATTCACTTTCTTTGTATACTCCTGTGAATTATAACCAACTTGAACTGATACACTTCTGTGCCAGATTCCAAGTTGGTCTGTCTACTGTAAATTTCATTCAGTTAAGGGTTAGAAGAAGCAAGTTTTGAATCAATGAGTTCAGTGCTTATGCCAATGAGAAACACAGCCTCTTTTTATCATCATCAATATGTCATGATTAAGTCAGAAAAATACGCTTTCTCGTCTACTTAAACGATTATAAAGGAAGAGTAATGGGATTACATACATGTCTACATGTCTATGTAATACCATGTTATAAGACACACTTGTTGTATCAGGACTTCTGAAACTACCAGGTTGTTCAAGCTTGATTAGGCAGAATGACATTTGAATCCGGGACCCAAAGTTTAGATCCTATCCCAACGAGCCGCATCTCTGTAAGAAATGTCGACACTTAGCAAAGTATATTGCTGCTGACTAGATTATAATCTTGAGGAAATAATTTGCATACCATATTAAGCAGAGAGAAAGGGAAACCCAGTCACAGATTTACATGAAATCAAACAAAACAAAGCTTGAATATAAATTAAACCACCCGACTTTCGATCATTCACTTAATCACAATGACATTTTATTCATTTTCGATAACGACTAGACGTACTAAAGGACATTACCATAGGCACATGTAACATTACGGGGATAATTCTACTCTCTGGAGGTCATCTGGTTGAACATGGAGTATGCAGACGCTGATAAAATGCGGGATCAGAAATCTGAGCATACCAGTTAAGTTTAGGAACAAAAAAGCCGTGAAGACCAAGCAGTTCCGGGCATACAAATCAGGTACACAATCCACACTTGATTCTGCAATATAGACACTTACTGGACCTAGACACTAACTATATTTCTTAACATGAAGCTGATATTCGACTCCATCAACCACTGACGAAAGCTCACCTTGGGAACAGAAGGCTCGTTTGCAATTCGCCTCACCTGTAGCACCGGTGAAATATACGACTACCTACCAGTTAAGTGAGGAGTATGCTACACTGCAGTCTGTTCTGTCTTGTTATACGGCTGTGAAACATGACCGCTGAAAGTAGAAAATATGAAACGATTATAGAGTTTTCATCACATACGCCACCGTAACATTGCTCACATCTTGTGGAATCACAGTGTGAGCGATGTTGAAGTCAGACAACGTGTACTAGACTAGTCAAGACAAAGAAGTCAGTGGATGAAGTGGTAGACCTTAGTCGACTGAAATGACTTGACCATGTACTGCGGCGCCACATCCACAGTCATCGCCTACGTCTACTTACAATCCTAAGGGAAGCTGGATTAGGTCGGAACAGGGTTCAGGGTGGCCTGACCAAGACGTGACACCAGTCGATGAAGTCCCTGGATGTTGGTCTGAGTCATGATTGCGGTCGCTGAGACGACAGGAATCAGTGGATGAAAGTCAATCATGATGGTGCAGATTTATTCACTCTTTGACATGTTCCGAAGCTTGAATATGTGTACTAACTTTTATCTTCATTCAAGCTGAATATTCTCTCACACAGCTTTTTCTAGTTTGGTATCACTTTTTCTATGCACTTATTCTTTGAGTCCTACTGTGAAGTTTAGCAACTTCAATCAATGCATCTGTGTGAGAGGTCCTACGCAGATCTTTGTGTGTATATTTCGACAGCTACAGAATTCAAACAGTATACGGATTCGAAGAGAAACACAAAAATAACTGATATAGTCTGGATCATTTTTATTCCAACGGTCAATTTCAAGCATAGCTCTAGTAGTTGCAATAATTAATGTGATACGAAAATAGAAGGAATAGTTGTGGTATTCGGTAAACAGTTTCCAAGGTAAGGGTGAGAACACTGTCCAACTGTATACAACAGTTTATAAGCCATTTTTACCCGTGAATGTGTCGACCAACATGAGTACACACACACACAGAACCTTTTCAGTGTGTGCAGTATAATCAATCAACACTGCTGAACACATTGTTAAACATATTTCACTTTTTGACATACCAAGAAATGAAGCTTTCGATGGTGATGATGAGGAGGAGGCGGCGGCGGCGGGACAGTAAACACAATAACTATTCACAAAAGCACACGGAAAGAATGTAAAGATGGGATTAGTTATCTAGACATTCTCTAGTGTATATAAAGGAGAAGAAAAGAATTATGAAATAAACATACGTTGACCACTCATAGCAAACAAGGACAATAGACAAGAAATTGAATATTGATAAATTAAAATAATTTATTCGCTTGTTTTTCTTTCTTCATCACACCAGAATTACTATACTGCACACTAAACATGCTTTTTTGGTACAAAGCGAAAACAAATAGCAGAAATTAGTTAGACTAGAAATAATGCACACGTGTGCACTGTATGCTGACTTTAAAGCATGAATGCATACATATATGCTTGCTGGAGAAAATGGTTCATTTCTGATCTTCAAACCTTGGAATATTTTTTAGTATTTTTAAATGTTACTTACAAAATATAAAGTAGTATATTAAAAGTAGCAATAAAATGTGGAATTCAGACTGAGAAATGAAATGACAGTAATATGACATAAATATGAAACACAAATAAGAATGTTACGCATCGTTTTTTGAATAAATAGCACAAATGAAAGTGGTAAAAGAAACACAAGAAAGCTAAAATTAATTCAGTCACCTCTAGGTATTCGTGTTCTCTGAACATTAGCCAGCCATAATAATGATTCACGATGACTTTCATCAAGACCACCACTAGGTGATAAACATAACATTTTATTTTCAAGAGCATGATTTTGACGAATACCTCCAGTGTTGCTGAATTTACTTTTGCGTGGAGACGATGATAACAAAACTAACTTACTACCCATTGGGCCGGATGTCACCTCAGCGACAAGCCTTGGTACAGATGAGACAAAAGTGGGCGGTTTATCAAAATCGATACGTTCATTGACACGCAACAAACAACCATCAGCCAATAGTACACGTACAATGCGTAGTATATTAATAGCATCATCTAGACCACGATGTCGTTGACCAACAAAAGACAGATTTAAATCATGCAGCATAACATTGAGTGATATGCGATAACGTGATGGAAACTTGTAGAAAGCACGAAATGATTTACTCAAATTAATCCAAACATTCGCCCAACTAGGCATAGATATATTTGCTAGACGACATTGAATACGCATAAATTTACTCACATCAGCATTACAATCACAGACGATAGCACATCTCGCGTTAGCTAGTTGATGACGCTTAAACAACCATTCTTCAATTTGTAACAGAACCTGTGGAAATGGCTGAGCACTGTCCACCTGATCTTGATTAATGTGTGTTAGATCTGTACAGAATTCACTTAAATCTGGATGTAATCTTGGTTTACAATAGGCGTGAAACACACTGACACACTTACGCAATTGTGTATTATATAACAATATGGGGAATTCAATAATTTCATGTGGATAATCAGTTTCACTGGTAAACTTCTCCTTCGATTCACAAGTGGCCTCCAGGTCAATAATCAGTAGATATGCATAGAATGTATCAGGTGTCAGTATAACTGGCTTTGGTAGTTTTATCATGGTGGTAGTCGAGGAATTCTTCAGTTTGTATCTATCGTTACAACGATTATCAGTAATTGGTAGATTCTGATTCACTTCACCAAGAACACCATTTTCATCATTGCCACCATTAGCATCATCATCATCATCACTGAATTGAATTTCAGCATTATGACTAATTGATTGTGATAGGCGTACTCGTCGTACAAACTCTTGTAAACGACGTTTTAATACATTTCCACAACCGAGTTGATTTAAACCATGATCATGTAGACAATTACGTAGAACATCCATTGACATATTATGTATACGACTATTACAATGACTTAAGCGATCTCGTAAAAATGTAGCCCATATCTCTGTAATAAGTTGTATACCAGGTGGAGAAAAAGCAAGTGATGTTGAAGAATACGGTAATAATGTCAAGTGATTGTTGAAAATAGCACAACTTTCAGCATTCAAAGGAATAAATTTACCCTGACTATTTTTAACAGGCCCTAAATAGACATCACTTATTGATGTTTTAGCCAACAATTCTTCTAAACTGTACAAATCAATATCTGATATAGATGAATGTATAAATGATGATGATGATGACGACGATGATGATGATAGCTGTTTATCGATTTGAAGAGTTTGTGAATTCTTATTGTCTGTACTACTGTTGGAACTAGTTACAATTGATTGATGAAATGATACATTTTCATGTTGTAAGCTAATTTCCATTGTCGTATGATAAAGTGAATTAGGCGAAGTATTGATTATATACAGATTATTATCAAGTACTTGAGTAGCATTATCATTATTATTGGTAATAGTAGTAGTAGTAGTAGTAGTAGTAGTAGTAGTAGTAGTAGTAGTAGTAGTAGTAGTAGTAGTAGTAGAAAGGAGTGGATTATTCGATTGATCCATACCATATAATGAATTGGAATGAGCAGAATACAAAAAAGATTGTGTAGTAGTGGTAGGCGTAAATGTATAACTGTTATATTGATTCGAAATGGATAAGTGTTGAGAAGAATTAGCTATCGATGATAAACTAGATTCATCATAGACAAAGTCAAGATATTCATGATAATTATCCGTATCCTGTAATGGATAACAATTAATGTTTATATAAGATGAAGGAAATTCATCAGAATGTATAGACTGATAAATCTGTGTAAATAAATTTTTAGGATATAAAGTAGAATATTCATCAAATGGATAAGATGATACACTAGTTGTTATAGGATAATTTATACTACTCGTTATTGTAGAATAGTAGGATAATTCACCAATGAAATGACAGACATGATTTGAATTTATGCAGACATCATTTGATGATGATATGAATTCAGATGGATTAGCAAGAAAACAAACTTTTCGACAGAAATTCGACAGACACGTTAAACACAATGATGGTGATGAATGTACAATAAAATCTGGATAACTATTTCTTTTATGCCTTACAGTATATATACTTTGATTTAAATGGTAACTGTGTAGACTATTTTCATTATTTACATTGAATAAATAATTATCAGGAAACTGATTTAACAAAGATATACTATTATCATAAGAGGATTGAAATAATGAATGATCAAAATTTGGAACATCAACACAATGAGTTATGCTTACATTGATAGTATTTGCTTGCTAAAAGTCAATAAAGAAAACACAGTTAAATTAGGAATAAGCTTCGAGTAGAAAAGAAAACTCAAACTAATAACATTGTATAGATATTTATTCCATACATTCCAGTAAATTCAAATGAATGTAAAACAGAATAAATTTGTTTTAATTGACGTTTTTGTTAGAGATGGTTAATCCATAAGAAAAAGTTTAAGCCTTATTTTCATATCGTTTTCGCATCATGTTATGTTGCTTATTTTTACTGTAATTTAGGATACTAAACGCTGATTGGTCCACTTTACACTTTTAATGTGCTATTTTATTTTTTCTGGCCAAGGTCATTTAAGGATATATCAACGACTCAGTCTTCATGTATTATTAATCGGTTGGAGTAAACAAACTTTCAATCTCATCGTCTTCTTCTGGTGTCAGCTGAATATCAAGCTAAAAAGTCACTGTTATATTGTTAATCATCTTGTCTCGGAGCATTGTATCGTTATCTATAGTGTTGGATCGTAACAGTTTCACTATTTACTGCTATCAAAGTTATAGTAAACCGAAATTTACAATATCCAAGCTTATATATATGATATGTGACCTTCTGTATGAATGATTCTCTGTTATCAGAATTGTAGCATAAAGATGATATCCATACGTAGTGTGTTGTGCGTGAATTACAGATTGAGATTTATATTTATAAATGTGTTGATAGTTCTTATTGCCTTGATGTATGTTGGATACGTCAATAAACGAGAATTTCAAGCCCCGAGAAATTTGACGAAAGACAAGGCCATTATAACAACAAAAAGCCGATAAAGGAAATATAATAATCACTTGTCCGAAGGACTATACACTTTAATTGATGAAAAGAAAACACCCACCTAACTGAACAAAATGGAACTCATCAACACGAATAAACTGCTCCAAGAATTGAAATCAAAAATCGGCGGCCTAATTTGGTTCAAGCTCAAACCTAAGTTATGCATAACTTCAAGATTCCACAGTCCACCTAAGATTCACAAACCTTCCATTCCAATGAGACCAATTGTGGACCTCATCAATATACAACCTCTCCAAATATCTGACTAGAATCTCCCCCCCCCCACCCCTCCCCTACAAAAGCACTTAGAATGAACAATAAATGACTCACTTAATTCTAAATCCAGAATTTTCTTCCCACTTGAAACTGAGGAACATGACATTAATTCTTTATATACTAGTATTCCAATCAATGATGGCCTAGATATTATTTGTAAGTAATTAAACTCAGATACAATATTAACAGGAAAGATGTCCACTAAATACCAATGATATATCATTAACAGCCTAAAAATTTTGCTTACAGACTATTTTTAAAGGAAAACTCTACAGGCAAACTAAAGGTGTTGCTATGGCTTTACCTGTTTTACTCATAGGTAGCTAACCTGTTTATAAGTAAATTCGAAGAAAGTGTCTTCACTGACTGATTAAAGCCAAATATTTGTCTGACGTATGTTGATGACACATTAGTAATTTGAAAATGTGACTTATACTAGGCAATCTTAGATCAGCTGAATTTTATATTTTCTAGTATTAATTTCAGCTCAGAAGAAGGAACAGATAGGGAGGGGGGGAGAACTAACTTTCTTTAGTTGTCTTATTACAAGGAAAAATTAATGGGCATTTAAGTATAACCATTTTCAGGAAAGCAATACATTCGAACAAATATTTACATTTCAACTCCTTAAGTTTCGGTTGCCTCCAATCTTTTAAGAAAAGTACACAATCTAACAACGCATACAAAGTAAAGAGTTAAGGAATTAAAATTTGCGAACAAGATACTTAAAATGAATAATTATCCAGTGAAATGTATTCATATTCATATTCACAATAAACTAGATCATAAAACTACTCTTTAATCATAGGGTCTCAATAATACTTCTCCTTTAAAGATTACATACATCGGATAAAATCACACGCACAACAAATCCAATATCAGAGTATTCGTTCTACAAAACATCAAACACAATGCACAGCACCTTTTAAAAATAAACACCGAAGTACGAGAAGAAAGGAAAGAGGAGTGAGAAAATGGTGAGATTCGGTATAGTGTGGTTAAGATGAAGATAATGTGTGTATACATCTGCGCCACTAACATCGGTTCTCAGCCATATCACCTAGAGTTAGTCCCACAGACCCCAACCACCTAGTCTACATCGTCACACATGGCTCAAACCAACAGTCAGACACTTCATACATTGGTGCCATCTTTTGGTCTGACCACCTCACGCCTTTCCCAGCCTGCACACACCTCAGCCAACATTGTGTGACGAGGCACTCGGCGACCAGGCAAACGTAACACACGTCTCAACCATCTCGGTCAATGAAGCTTCACAACCGTGTCAACTCATCTACCTCTTCTCCCCAAAACTCTACACCTAACTTCTGCATTACTCACTCACGTGGTCACACCATGGAATACGTCCTATACTACGAAGGCAACCATCGTCAAACACCTGAAGATAGCTCATGTCTTCCACCCCCAAATGGCCATGTCTCACACACATACACTAGTACACAGTTGACTGCAGCACAGTACAATCGACTCCTAATACACAATCGGATACCACAGTGGCGCCATAGGCCACGTAAATTGGCAAAAGCCAGTAGAGCCTTTTGTATCCCTGCAGACATTCCACCGGCCACTCAGCCAGCAACCAGGGCTCAGATCCTACTTACCAGGTAAGTAAAGTGGTCAACACACTCAACCTCTACACTCTCTATTGTTAACCGCAGTGGGGCACCATTCAACACCAATCCTGGAGCAACAATCTCCATTTGGGTGGTGAAAATCGCATCCCAAACATTCTCACTATTCAGAAGACTCTGCATCTTGACAGCGTCTTCATCTAACACGACCACGTCATCTGCATATTCTAGGTCGAACGAAAATTCTCCCACAACTAGGCCAACCTCTGTGTAATCAAGTGACGACAGGGAAACCTCCATAAGAATATCTATGATAAAATTGAATAAGAATGGAGATAGTGGGCATCCTTGACGGACACCACTCGATGAGCACAGCTCCATGGACATCCCACCATAGGCTCTAACATGCCCACAAGTGTTCGAGTAGAGAGCCTTCAATAAAGTGATGTACTTACGAGGCACGTCTTTCAGTGACAGACATTGCCGTAAGACTTCTCGATCAACGGAGTCAAATGCCGCCACCTTCAGGTCGAGAAATACAGCTATTGTCCGCCGTCGGTAGGCGTGTCTATGTTCCAGGACCTGGTGCAGTGTGAATATTTGGTCGATACACACGCGGCCAGGTAGAAAGCTTGCCTGGTTTTCTCGGGCTTGCTGTTTCCGAGCTCCACTCAGGCGTCGGAAAATTATAGAACCTAAGGTCTTAGACACTATGCTCCTCAGGCTGATTCCTTTGTGGTTATCACAACAGGACTTCTCGCCTTTCTTGAAGACTGGGATAATCAGTGATTTAGACCAGTCAGAGGGAATCGCATTTGATTCCCATATACTGGTTAACACCTCCGTTAACCTGACTAAGAGCACCTTACCACCATCCTTGTGTACCTCTGGATTTAGTCCGTCTGGTCCTGCCACCCTTTCTTGTTTCAGGTTACCTACTGCTTTCTCGACTTTGCTAGTGTTGGGAGGTCTATCTCAATGTTCCATTCAGGGTCCGGTTGGATAGCGGGCAATGCAATGGTGACTGGAGGCCAGTTAAACTGTTCCTCGAAGTGTTCTGCCCATCATTCCAGTCATCTCTGTGTGTGAATCGCAGATCTATCCTTCTCCGACATGGCCTCACAAACTGTTGTTGACCTCCCCTACTTTCCCCCCAGTCTCCTTAATAAGTCTAAATAATTGTCTACTGTTACCAATCGCCGGTGCCTTTTCCATTTCTTTAGCCTTCACTGTCCACCACTGTTTGTGGTCGTTGCGTAGACTTTTTTCAATTCAATTTTAAGTTGCGCTCCCTCTTTATTCTACTCAGAACCTGCAGGGATGCGTTCACGTGCATCCATTAGTTCGGAAGAAGCTGTTGATATCTACTGGCTCTTTTTAGCCATTATTTTGGAGTCGGTTACAGTATTCAGTGCTGCTTTTACAGCAGACTGAGGAAGGTACCAAGCTTCTTCCGATAACTGCCTAGCCAACTTCTCACTGAACACAGCTTTGGTGTTTCCGTTTTCCAGCAGCACTCGTAGTGGTTTTGTCGCCAAATTTTTTCTACGTCCATTGAGACGCAGGCATATACGTGCTCGGACCAACGCATGACCGCTGTCCAAACACGTACTCTAGAAGGAGCGGCAGTCTTCCACCGATCCTCTCCAGCGATGACTAATAGCAATGTGGTCTATCTGTGTCCATCGCTGAGTTGAGCTCGGTGGACGCCAAGTCAGATAGTGCCTTTCTTTATGTCTGAAATTGATGCTGGATAAAAATAGGTGGTTATCTGAGCATAGTTGTAATAGGCGATCACCGTTATCTGTACGTTCAGCTGGGATTCCGAAAGTGCCACTTAAGTGCCTTTCTGCCTCATTCAGTCTACCCACCTGTGCGTTGAGGTCACCTGCAACAACCACCACGTCCGAACGTTTGGCTTTCGAGAGGAGGTTAGACAGTCTACGGTAGAACTCGTCCTTCACTTCATCTGAGCTGCAGTGAGTGAGTGGACACTTATCCGAAGGACTATACACTTTAACTGATGAAAAGAAAAGATTCGCCTAACTGAACAAAATGGAACTAAACACGAATAGACTTTAGTGCAAAACGGAATTATTTGATTTCAAACCCACTGTGACTTACACAAATACAATCTATATCTAATGTCAACCTTTTACTCAGCGCTCAATATTTGCCATACTATACGATCAAATCTTGATCATAGTTTATATATATATATATATATATATATATATATATATATATATATATATATATATATATATATATATATTCAGAAAGGCTTTAGAAATTATGAAGAACGTTTCATAGCAGCATTGCTTCACATAAAGCGGAATCAAAATTATCTAATTAGGAATTATGGAGCAATCTGTAATTTGACCTGATCTCAATCCACTCCCTCATACTGATATAACCAACATACATCAAGGTGCTAAGAAATATCAACACATATGTACATGCAGAAGATCACACATCATATGAAATAAGCTTGGATATTGTAAATTTCGGTTTACTATATAACTTTGATAAAGCTATTAACACTAAATAGTGAAACGTTAGTTGAAACAAATTCATTTGACTTCATATTCATTGGAAAAAACAAACTACCAAAATAATGGAATATCATTTACTCAATGCCGAAATTTCTTTTAAAACCATCAAATTCCAAATTGGTTTGAATGTATCTAAAAGCTCTTCAGTTAACTTTACACCCTTGACTAGGTTGAGAACTATTTACATCTTGATTCATAAATACTATTGGTTAACCTAATAGACTTTAATCAATTGATAACAGGATATAACTAGTCTGCAGGATATCTCTATTCTATCAAAAGCACATCTTAAAATGACGACAAAGAGAACACTATACACTTAGACAACAAACAGCAATAACAGCCAGAAAAATCCACTATACAACATAGCTGTTTTTATCAGCATTTAGTTTACGTTTACTACACTAAAAGGAAGTAATATTAACCAACTATTGATTGTTCACATACATAGAGGGTAAAAACTCATATTAGGCGAACATAAATAATTATGAAACCAGTCTCTTGCATGCATACACAGACAATTTAAAAGAGTTAACTTACAACCGATTTGATATATGCTGAAAAATAAGTATATCCATGATCCAACATTTAGGATTAGAATAAGAAGCAAACTAATCCATATTGTTTAGCATATGTATATATATATACAATAAAAAGTGATTATCATAAAACTAATTATAAACTGACTGGTTATGAATATACATTAAGTTACTATGCGAACATCTTCGCATCTCTAAAAATATATATGTTGTCAATTTCACTGACAATGATACATAAAGAATTGTTATTATCATACGGAAACACTCACTGGTGAGAATGCAGCAGCTATCAGGTGACTTTTGCTTTGCTTCTGATTGTTTACTTATTATTATTTGATGAACACCTTGTTATTATTATGCTATCATAATCGCATCTCTTGTCTATAAATGATTATTATTATTATTAGTCCCTTGGGTTCCTAGTGGAACATAGGGCTTCAGTAGCACGTCTCCAGTGACCTCTGTTCTCTGAGATCTTTTCAACCTGGTTCCACGACAGCCCACAACCTCTCATTTCCTCCTCGCACCACCTCCTCCTTGTCACCCTCAGCTGGAACGTCCAACTCGTCGCTTCTCATGGGGATTCCACTCAACTACCTGGACTGACGCGTGATATCCTCAGTCGGCCTTCTCAGTGCATGCCCAGTCCAATCCATCTCCACTTCCCTCCAGTGCATATTTGTTGAGCGATAGGTTGTTGGTTGGTTCGTTCCCAGAACTCCTTGTTGCTTATTCTTATTATTCTGGCCATCTGATCTTCAGTATCGAGTGAGAGTAAGCAGTTGTTGATGAATGTCTGTAGTTTATTGGAAATCCCTTTCGTGACGCACCAAGTCTCTGAACCATACAGAAGCACTGACTTGACGTTGGTGTTGAAAATCCGGATCTTGTTCCACATGCTGAGTGCAGTAAAGCAGATCTCCACACTGGTTTCAGGCTAGTGAACGCCTGTCTTGCTGTCTTTCCGATTCTGACTTTGACATCCTCGTCTGTGCCTGTGTCGCCTGTAGTTGAAACAGTGCTACCTTGCCTAGATAGGTGAAGGAGGTTATTTCCTTCAAGTTTCTCCCGTTGATGGTGATTGGAGTTTGTTGTTGTTGTTGGAGTTGTTGGTGAGACATCTTCATCACCTCTGTCTTCTCTATACTCACTTGAAGTCCCGTCTTCCTTCGATGCCTCGCCTCTTCTGTCAGCTTGTTAGTTTTTGCCTGCAGATCTTCAAGTTTATGTGACATCAGGCACAAGTCATCGGCGAAATCCAAGTCTTCTAGGTTCTTTTCCGCAGTCCAGTGTATCCCCCTCCTCTCGCTGCCCACTGTTTGCTGCATGATCCAGTCGACCACAATCAGGAATATCATGGGGGATAGTAGGCAACCTTGTTTCACTCCTGTCTTCACATCAAAAGCATCACTGAGCTTCCCATTGTGAATGGTATAGTATACGGACATATACTCATATAACTGAACACGTAGTTAACAGTTTTCCGTTTTGATATTTAGTCAACTAAGGTCTCAACATGCTTATCGTTTACGCTTATTCAGTCAACAAATACGAGTCGATAGTATATACTTGTCTGGCTATGCAACAGTTTTGTACACATAACAAATCGTCAATCCTTTCCGAATCGACATACAACTAACTGAAATCACTCAAAGACTATGTTTCTTGTCCGATGAGCCTAACATCACGATATAGCATTCCAAATATAATCATGTTTCGATATAATGGAGCAAGAAAATCTGGCTGAAAGGATAGTATGAGAAAAACTCGAATACATAAACACTACCTTAGGACCCCTTTCAGTGATAGAAACTGCTATAAGATCTCTCGGTCGATGGTCAAACAGAAAAACAATATGGAGAGTCTCACATAAGTGCATCGATTCAAGTTGCCACACTTCACAGTAGGATTCAAAGAACAAGTGCATAGAAAAAGTGATACCAAACTAGAAAAAGCTGTGTGAGAGAATATTCAGCTTGAATGAAGATAAAAGTTAGTACACATATTCAAGCTTCAGAACATGTCAAAGAGTGAATAAATCTGCACCATCATGATTGACTTTCATCCACTGATTCCTGTCGTCTCAGCGACCGCAATCATGACTCAGACCAACATCCAGGGACTTCATCGACTGGTGTCACGTCTTGGTCAGGCCACCCTGAACCCTGTTCCGACCTAATCCAGCTTCCCTTAGGATTGTAAGTAGACGTAGGCGATGACTGTGGATGTGGCGCCGCAGTACATGGTCAAGTCATTTCAGTCGACTAAGGTCTACCACTTCATCCACTGACTTCTTTGTCTTGACTAGTCTAGTACACGTCGTCTGACTTCAACATCGCTCACACCGTGATTCCACTAGATGTGAGCAATGTTACGGTGGCGTATGTGATGAAAACTCTGTAATCGTTTCATATCTTCTACTTTCAGCGGTCATGTTTCACAGCCGTATAACAAGACAGAACAGACTGCAGTGCAGCATACTCCTCACTTAACTGGTAGGTAGTCGTATATTTCACCGGTGCTACAGGTGAGGCGAATTGCAAACGAGCCTTCTGTTCCCAAGGTGAGCTTTCGTCAGTGGTTGACGGAGTCGAATATCAGCTTCATGTTAAGAAATATAGTTAGTGTCTAGGTCCAGTAAGTGTCTATATTGCAGAATCAAGTGTGGATTGTGTACCTGATTTGTATGCCCGGAACTGCTTGGTCTTCACGGGTTTTTTGTTCCCAAGCCTAATTAAGATGCCTAATGATTAAACAACCTAGAATCCTAGACATTATGTTCGTAAGACCGATGCTTCTGTAGTCATCACAAGACGATTCCTCTCCTTTATTAAAAACTACGACAATGAGTGTTTAACACACCAGAAGGGATCATGTTCGATTTCCATACGCTAGCTGACTTGACCAATAACCCTCGAACATCATCCTTAAGTACCTTCGTGACCAGCCTATCTCTTTATGCTACTAACAGATTCCTTGACTTCTGCAAGTGTTGAAGGTTCTACCTCGATGTAGCATTGAAGATCCGACTGGATGGTGAGACACGGAATAGTAGCTGGAGGCTAGCTGAATCGTCCCTCTCACTTCATCATCACAGGACGACGCATTACTGTGCTACAGTCCAAGTTGCCACATCTCATATCAACACCACGTAAAGAGGCAATAAAATCGAAGATGAAGAGGGAAAGAGAAACCAGACAAAAGGAGTGTAAAAAAGTAGAGAGAAAGGAAGAATGAGGAAATGGTGAGATTCGGTATAGTGTGGTTAAGATGAAGATAATGTGTGTATACATCTGCGCCACTAACATCGGTTCTCAGCCATATCACCTAGAGTTAGTCCCACAGACCCCAACCACCTAGTCTACATCGTCACACATGGCTCAAACCAACAGTCAGACACTTCATACATTGGTGCCATCTTTTGGTCTGACCACCTCACGCCTTTCCCAGCCTGCACACACCTCAGCCAACATTGTGTGACGAGGCACTCGGCGACCAGGCAAACGTAACACACGTCTCAACCATCTCGGTCAATGAAGCTTCACAACCGTGTCAACTCATCTACCTCTTCTCCCCAAAACTCTACACCTAACTTCTGCATTACTCACTCACGTGGTCACACCATGGAATACGTCCTATACTACGAAGGCAACCATCGTCAAACACCTGAAGATAGCTCATGTCTTCCACCCCCAAATGGCCATGTCTCACACACATACACTAGTACACAGTTGACTGCAGCACAGTACAATCGACTCCTAATACACAATCGGATACCACAGTGGCGCCATAGGCCACGTAAATTGGCAAAAGCCAGTAGAGCCTTTTGTATCCCTGCAGACATTCCACCGGCCACTCAGCCAGCAACCAGGGCTCAGATCCTACTTACCAGGTAAGTAAAGTGGTCAACACACTCAACCTCTACACTCTCTATTGTTAACCGCAGTGGGGCACCATTCAACACCAATCCTGGAGCAACAATTCCCATTTGGGTGGTCAGAACCGCATCCCAGACATTCTCACTATTCAGAAGACTCTGCATCTTGTCAGCGTCTTCATCTAACACGACCACGTCATCTGCATATTCTAGGTCGAACGAAAATTCTCCCACAACTAGGCCAACCTCTGTGTAATCAAGTGACGACAGGGAAACCTCCATAAGAATATCTATGATAAAATTGAATAAGAATGGAGATAGTGGGCATCCTTGACGGACACCACTCGATGAGCACAGCTCCATGGACATCCCACCATAGGCTCTAACATGCCCACAAGTGTTCGAGTAGAGAGCCTTCAATAAAGTGATGTACTTACGAGGCACGTCTTTCAGTGACAGACATTGCCGTAAGACTTCTCGATCAACGGAGTCAAATGCCGCCACCTTCAGGTCGAGAAATACAGCTATTGTCCGCCGTCGGTAGGCGTGTCTATGTTCCAGGACCTGGTGCAGTGTGAATATTTGGTCGATACACACGCGGCCAGGTAGAAAGCTTGCCTGGTTTTCTCGGGCTTGCTGTTTCCGAGCTCCACTCAGGCGTCGGAAAATTATAGAACCTAAGGTCTTAGACACTATGCTCCTCAGGCTGATTCCTTTGTGGTTATCACAACAGGACTTCTCGCCTTTCTTGAAGACTGGGATAATCAGTGATTTAGACCAGTCAGAGGGAATCGCATTTGATTCCCATATACTGGTTAACACCTCCGTTAACCTGACTAAGAGCACCTTACCACCATCCTTGTGTACCTCTGGATTTAGTCCGTCTGGTCCTGCCACCCTTTCTTGTTTCAGGTTACCTACTGCTTTCTCGACTTTGCTAGTGTTGGGAGGTCTATCTCAATGTTCCATTCAGGGTCCGGTTGGATAGCGGGCAATGCAATGGTGACTGGAGGCCAGTTAAACTGTTCCTCGAAGTGTTCTGCCCATCATTCCAGTCATCTCTGTGTGTGAATCGCAGATCTATCCTTCTCCGACATGGCCTCACAAACTGTTGTTGACCTCCCCTACTTTCCCCCCAGTCTCCTTAATAAGTCTAAATAATTGTCTACTGTTACCAATCGCCGGTGCCTTTTCCATTTCTTTAGCCTTCACTGTCCACCACTGTTTGTGGTCGTTGCGTAGACTTTTTTCAATTCAATTTTAAGTTGCGCTCCCTCTTTATTCTACTCAGAACCTGCAGGGATGCGTTCACGTGCATCCATTAGTTCGGAAGAAGCTGTTGATATCTACTGGCTCTTTTTAGCCGCTATTTTGAAGTCAGTTACAGTCTTCAGACTGCAGACGACACCAAGTTTCTTCTTGATGAGTGACAGTCTTTTGTTCTGATAACTGTCCAACCAACTTCTCACTGAACACAGCTTTGGTGTTTTCGTTGTCCAGCAGCAGTCGTAGTGGTTTTGAAGCCAATTTCTTTTACGTCCATTGAGACGCAGGCATATACGCGCTTGGACAATGCCATACTTGCACCTACAGCAATACGAGAACTAGACATCGAATCTCCAAGAACCCGAAGGATGGATCTCACGAACTCACCATAATGGCAAGTTGAGATTGGATGAATAACTACACTTGGATCTTCTAGGCGTGTCCCACAAACACAGCACATGATCTCGGCCTGAGATGCCAGAGTTTTGTCTAGCGAAGCTTTTAGTCCTACTTGACGGAGAGTGTGAACATTAAAATTTTCAATATGCGGTTCGGTGCGCAGTTTCAGAAGACTAGGGATCCTGTTTTATGGATTCGAGTCATTGTTGAGGGCTGCGTTGCTGAAACAAATTAGAGATGTAGGAATTTCGACTGCGATGCAAAGAAAGAATAGAAGGTAAAGATCTTGATGACTGGCAATGATCTGAAGGAAGTTGTGCCGAGCAAATCCAGCGTGCTGCGCTACAATTCACTGTTCTATTACGTGGTAGTGAAGCATGGACATTAAAGGTGGAGGGCATGAGGTGTTTGACTACTGTCATCTTCGTAGCATAAGCCAGGTTGCGATAACACCACATCAATGACTTACTCATATATCGTGACCACTCACTCTATCCTAAAATATTAAATGAAGTACGCTTAAGATGGAAAAAGGTTAAAAGCGGCGAAACTCAAAGTAGCATCGGTCCCTAAAGTTTTGCAACTGCTGACCTGAGCCGTGTAGGGGAACGTAAACTTCTTGGATAGTGTCGATGTGACAATAGAAATCGGTTGTTGGAGATTGTAGGTAATATGGCTCAGGATTGATGCTAGTGGTGCAGATGCATCTACACATTATCATCATAATCGTCACATGGAATTCCTTTACTTTTTCATTCCGTTTTGGTAGTTCTGCCACTTTGACTACTTTCATTTCAACGTCATTTATGCGTTTTGTACTTTGACGTGCTGATGAGGCATGACAATACGAGGAGCTGTGCAGTAATTCTAAGTCTCATGTCAATGCTGACTGACTCTTTATCTAGAGTCAAATTTAGGAAATAGTTTTTGCTATTAATTAGCAGAGAAAATGACATATTAGGAACAATTGTCATATGCTGAAGGTTTTAACTTCTACTGATCGATAGATTGTGTTGTCCTACTCCATTTTACTGCTCATAGAAAGATTACACACAGGTCTAAAATGCCACTTCTCTAAATATAATTACTCCTAGTTTGTCATTTTCATTAATAGTAAATACTCTAGACAAATAATCAGTCGATATCAACGAGGGACCCAGCATTACTGTATAACGGTATGGATTGCAATATCATATCACTGTAAAGGACAGATATGGAAACAATTATAAACCGTAGGAAGAAAATAGAGGGGTTAGAACAATATTGCGGATAAAATGAAGATAACCATGAACGTATATGGGTTAATAAGTTCGACATCGGAAAAAATAGAAATCCAATTAATAGCTTTGTGCAGTCATGTATTAGGCAGTGAGGCACACTTACAGAGTTAATGATACTACTTGGTTGTCTAAACCGTGACCCATTGGTTGGAAATTAAGTCCCTGGACCAGAGAGTCACACCACCATTGATTCTGATATATTGGTACTAAATTCACTGCAACACAGTACTCTGGGTTTAACTATTTTATTTGAACAGCTTGAAGTTGATCAAACAGCAAGATAATTGGCTGAAAGGAGGGAATAGTCCAAGTAGCAACCGATAAGAGCCAGACGATCGAGTAACGCTCTGATGCGTAAATCCTTAAACTACGCACAAATACAATTTTGACTAGCAACAGTTCTTACATAAATTCCGCACACGAAAAAATGACATCGACGAACTAATAAAACATGATTGATGACTTCTGTACGCACCTACATTTTATGATTGCTGTAAACTTCAACAAACTATATATATATATTTATTGTCTATATACTTTTCGATGATATTTCAAAGTGAGGATAAGACTTTCACAGTACAAGCGACCACTTGCGATTGGTCTAAATGACATCTACATTATATAAATAAACGGTACACAATGACACTGCTTATGAACGTTAAGTGATAAGGAGGCGATAACAAGAAGAAGACAAGAATCCTTCTATTTTGATACGATTCGCTTGCTATCCACTCATTAGTTTCCTTAACGGTCGAAATAATCTCCCACCCACACCACCCAAAAAAAATCGGACGCCGTAAAACGAGCGCAACAATGAAGCGACACACATCAATCAATACACTTAGATTCCCAAGCTAAGTAATAACTAAATTGTGTTGACTCAGAAAAACAACTCAATCTTAGGGTAGACTGCTATAATATGTTTTGGTATCAATAAGGTGCCCTTGGCTTCTATCAGTACATTTAGCACAATAATAAACAACCACTTCCATGGAAGTGAAATAAGAATTACAAAATTTGGAGCTGAGCATCAAGTTAGTATACGTGATAAGCTGAAGCTGAGGCATACAAAGCGAAACGTATAGAAAAATCTCGTTTTGGTTTTCTGAACACGCTAGGGATATGTTAAAATATTACTAGATGATTAAACCTGACTTGGCGTCCAACTTATTTCACGACATTCATAACAACTATGGTCTGACGTTTATATAATTATATAAACTTTAACTGTTTAATCGGTTAAAATGCTTAACATGAAGCTTAAACAGGATAAAGGTCTTTTGTTTGCCTCCTTTATCGTCGTTTAATACAAGTAAACAGTTAAGGTCTCAATTATAACTCATTAATGATACTCATTCAGATAGTAATAAAGTATAGAACGAAAATGTGAGAAGGCGAAGCTTCGTGGCGACAACGAAACGTTCTTCTGTTCATGAGCCTTCTATACCACAAAATTGCTTCGCTTGGCATACTTCACAGCGAGTTGACAAGAATTTCTATGCGGGGACAATACTTACCATGAGATGTAACCAGCTGCTACATTACGTATAACCAGCGGTTGGCATGTCCGAGCGACCTAGAAGAGTGTGTGGGGTTTACAAAAATTCTGTGTCCAATAAAGTTCATTAATTTGTGTTCCGATAACTGTTCAAAGGGGTAGTATATTTAACAGTGAATAGTAGTGGATTAGCATTGAGCACCACCGTGATGACCTAGAATCTCCTTTATCCCCCCTCAGATTGTGCAACGAAGGACTATCAGAAGAGTTATAATCGTGCGGTGTCACCTCGCCCATATTCTACTTCATCTTAACATACGTCTTGAACGTCAGCCGGAAATCCAATAACTATGGATTGTCCTTCGGGTGTATACTGCGAGACTTTGGGAAAGATCTGTGCCGCCTCATCTGAAGTTGAGACCTGTAAACTGTGGAATTCTCTCCTGAAGAATCTGTCACAGCCTATTCTGCTGATGCTTCCAAAAGGAATTTCTACACCCACTCGGAGTCCTGTAATACAAGCTGACGGTATTCAAGATGTTTCCCATCGCTTCGTAAACCATGGTGAACAGCACTACCAGAAAAGAGCTGATGAATAGTGTCTGGTTATTTCCATCCACTGAAGCTTCTCAAACGAGTACAAGAATTGTGGTGTCTGGTCAAGTAACCACGAAATTCGGCGCTATCACTGTTGCTAAGGCAATGTCCCAATTACCAGTAAACCGACTCATCTGGGTTGTGTTTGCATGGATTTTTCGGTGCACTTCGACAAATGTACAAATCTTCAAACCCTCGTGTAGTAGAGGTGGCAAACTGAAACTTTTTCTGATTCCGTACCTACCATAGTAGGACTGGATTTTGGGCATGGAGCCTGTGGCTGTTCACCCCTCAGCAATATTCCCATCGGGTCAAAAAAAATGTCAGAATTTATTAATTGTTGTGATTTGCATTTCTGGAGATTAAACTCGGGATATGCAGTCTTTAAGCCAGTCAGAACGGTTTGGGTGATAATCTGTCCAGAGCACTTCACAGGAGCCCAAGTATGACACAGGCCTTACCTGCTAGTAAACCCCAACGAGTAGAAATACCAGTTGCTCGAATGAGAGACACTCCTGAGTCGCCTTTGGCGGCAAAGTGGCACATGCATTTTTATCTTCTAGAATAAGAAGTGCCCACAGTGTTGTCGGTTAAAATGTTCATTTTTACCTTAACTCTGGTTAAGCAAAGGGCATATTCTACGAGGCCCATTCGTGTACATTCTTTGGGTCTTGACACTAGAGGCTGGAATCCATGGGCCTGTTCATTTCCTCCCAGAGTTTGTTGGTCCTCGACACTTAGGTATGACTGGTGCCTACAAGAAAGCTTTGTGTCGTCAATAAGGGATAAAAGTAGAGAAGGACAGAGTGTGGATCCCACAGGCACTTCCCCGGAAGTTAAAAACTAACGATACGAAAATCCAACTTTCACATCCAATAAAATACTTGTCATAGCCGTCTAGCAACCGTGACAAAGGTCATGTTTTGTCTACGACTTAGAGCTTCTGGAGAGTGGTTCATCATCTCGAAGGTTTTCAGAAACCCGCAACTGCAATGGCCGCTGAATTTTGAATTTCAGCGCGCTTGCGCAGCTGTTTGACTCGAGAAGTGTTGGTACCATACGGTCTATTGGATCTTAACCCATACGGTCAGTAGTCTTTAACAAATCGGTTTCAGAGAAACAGGTGAGATTATGGAAATCCATTTGTAGTTCCAGGCCATATCTTGCTAAGCGATGTGGAACTGACCCTTTTAAGTCAAACGGCGACCTTGTCGAGACCTGATATTTGACTCCAAATTTATACACCCGTTCGGACACACCATCGCTTGTTTACTATTCCAGATACCTCTGATCCGCCCGCGCCAGACAGTGTAAATATCAGGAGTTGGCGCGAAGTAAGTACCGGGATACTGTGTTGGTCAACGAGCAGGCAAAGTTTACAAATCAGTACAACTAAACGAAGTGCTCAACTGTGAGTTGTGAAACATATCAACACAATACCGTGAAATGAACGCTACATAGGCCCCTCCCAAAACACAGGTGTGAGAAGGAATATCTGTGCTCGATATAAAATGTTATCCGACAAGGGCAAACTCATCTTAAAGATTTTTAAAATGTAGGAGGAGTGTTAGAGATATCTCCTATCAGGGTGAAAACCGACTGGAAGAGTATTTACATAAAAATGGAGTGCATGACAGTCGAAACAGTAAACTAACTTTGCTGAAGTAATAATATACCTAGAGGCGAAAAACCTAAATCGTAATACCCGGAACATTATTTAGAAATAAAACATTCGGAAGCCCGTGGTGCAAGGCGAAAATGCTTTTTTGCGCATGTGGAAAAGTCTGACAAAATAGTGTGATCATGATTTCAACAAAGTGGTGATTTGATTTTATTACATTCCTCCTGAATATCGTGGTATTTTAAATCGGTGCTCTGCGCGGTTTAGCAGATTTCCCATCTGTACAGAAGGAAAATTCGGAGCATACACTGCCTCTTTTTCTCAGAAACCCTACCTCACGTGAATCACACCCCTCTTCTAGGACGTCAGTACTAACGAACTCAGTAAACAAGTAGCTACTACTGCTGCTCAACCGTGGTCTAGCCCAACAAACGTATATGTGCTGCGCGTACACTTAAACTTGATCCTAGCGTCTCAACTAAAAGAGCGCGTTCGCTATCTGGTTCGATATCAAGCCCTGGAATAGGCCCCGAAGTTAAGGTACTCGATATGATATTCCAGCTACATGACACTTCACGTAAAAATAGGGAAGATTTGATGGCCCTGCGGAAGTTACTGCAAGATATGAACGTTAAGCTTGAAGTTATCCCGTTACTGTTGCATCTTTGTCAGCCTAATCTAGGAGCCAGCACTGAAAACCTATTGAAAGCAGAAAGCGTACTGGATATCGCAACCACAGAGATTAATAAAAGAATTAATGTACTGGTATACAACAAACCCGACCGCGAACCGATCAGGCAACTGAAAGCCCCATGTTTGCAGGCTTGCGATATGTGCTCTGCAGAATGCCAAGTTATCCATCTCCGCGAGAAGCTGGGGAAACACACCTGCCCCATGTTGTTCAAATTTAATAGCTCTCACCACGCCAGATGCCATCTATAATCCAGTCAACTTACCAGTGTATCCACACCATGTAAAAGTATCAAACTTTCTCAAGGCCTAACACCTTGTCAAAGACGTGATGGCATAAAAATACCGTAGGTCATAACCCCCAGTCGGGCTGTGGTATCCACAACAGCAACATATTCTGTCTGTGAACCGGTTACTGGACCCAAACAACGGAAAGAGGGACACCAAAGTCCCAAAAATGGCCCACCCACAAGCAGACGTAGTAGGACCGATAACACGACGGTAGGCTTGGGTAACTCGACAAACTACAATCGAAAACGGGCACACGATCTCTCAAAAGTGATATCACTGCCTACAGAAGTGGAAGCTCAGTCCCCGTCTCACCCGGTCACACAAATCACCACCAAACTAATTGCTACGCTATCAACCCAACAAAATGCTGAAGACATTAGCATGTCGCCACTAGGGGTCACTCATCCTTTAAAAGTACCCAGCACCAGCCACAAGCACCCTCTCAACACAGGACCGTCTCGTAGCCTAACTCGTGGGCAGTCTAATCTATCCCCACATCAGCCAGTGCATAACTTATATGCATCAAATGGGCAGATGACATCACACACCCCTATACAAACCCTGCCATGCACCCACCCAGGTTATTCAAATTGCCGAAAAGTCAATCAAGCAACCAAGTCAATAGACGAGTAAGCAATGCAAATAACCAAAAAACAATGGGACCCTCGCAAAGCCACGCTAAGAAAAATGCCAAACGTCATTTCTCAGCTCATCCCACGACCAAACCAAGTGACTACCGTCCAGGAGATCCGTATTTCTTAACATTCCTGCGATCACTAGCAGGGACGCAACACGGCCAAACCCTCAACGGTCACAGTTATTGAATAGTGAGCCGAATGGTAGTCACAGACTATGCACTCCGCCTCACCCATAAGCTGCAAAACGTGGGTCATATGCCGCTCAAGGAAAAACTTAGTGACCACGAAGTTGGCTATGGCTGTAATGTATACGGCGGCCGGCAACTAGGCATGCCATACAATCTATTAGTCCCCGTTACTTCGCAGGATGGAGTTTTTTCGGACAGCCTACGCCTGCAACGCCTTCGGTAATGCAAGTGATCAGGATGCTGTCAGATCATCTTCTCTCTACCTTGACCAACGGTCTCTACATCAATCGCAACATGGCGAATACCTCACTCCTTCCGAGGCGAGCAGTACCAAGTTGTTGCCCTGTACTAGAGTTCATGACATCGCTAGCGCGATGTGCGCGAGGGTCCCATGAGGAATGCAGAGAAGTGCTGATCTTTTTAGAGATACATCCAAACACTTTCGTACTCTCAACTCGCTCCCGTTTTGCCTGATTAACGTCGGCTGTACGGGCAACAAAGTGAAAGAGATTGTATTGCCATCTCTGATTTGTGATCAGTCCGTGATAATGATTACAGAAGCATGGCATACCTCTGATATTTTTGACACAAAGATCTCAGTCGACAACTATTCCTTGTTCAGGAGGGACAGATTACATGGTAAAGGAGGGCGCATTACCTATATAAAGTCCGATATTACTGCTACGCATTGCTCAACCTCTGAGCTAAACGAGATTGACGACTCAGTATGGATCATTGCCAAAATAACTCACTCCACATCTTTCCTAATAGGATGCATTTACCGACCCCCATACTCGGTCGAATACGACGAGAGGCTAACAAGCGTGATCGCTTGTATGGCATCACTACCACACACAACGAAAATTATATGTGGTGACTTTAACATGCCAGATATAACGTGTTAGCCAATCAGCTATCCAAAGCATTCTGATAAATTTATAAGCATTCTTGAAACAGAGGGTTGGCGACAACATGTGGGACACCCTACCAAGTACAGTAGTGCCCTGGACCTAGTCCTCACAAACGGAACCACACCCACAAAACCCCAAGTCCATACACAACTGCCAGGCAGCGATCACGGGATGGTATATGGATGCTTCAACATATCTAGCACAAAATTAGCCTAGAAGATAGGAACAGTTCTGACTAGAATCTATAAGTATACTGAATGGGATGAACCACAATTTCCTCTGAG